CATATGTAAAGGTTAATATTAAAAAAATATTATTAATGAAATCTTATTTTTATTAAAATATCTTATATTTTAGAATATTGAATTTTTTTAAAAAATATCTTATAATTTAGAAAAGAGGTAGTAATTTTTATAACTTTTATATTCCCCTTTTTATTACTCCAAATATTTCTCTTTCGATAACTCCATTTCAAGAATATTGCTTCTGCGCGCAATTTCTAATTAATGACGACTTTGCGAAAGTCTTCATTCGTCTCCAGGCTCAAACCGGCCTAAACTCTAATTAATTGTCATAGCTTCAACCACATCCACTCTTAATTAATAATTATAATCGTTATTTAGTATGGATTTACCTACTCGGCATCTTTTATCCATTATGATTATATATGATCCTCCCTTTGAATTACTAACGGATCGGTGTTGATTATATAAGATCCTCCCTTTGAATTACTAACGGATCGGTGTTGATTATATAAGATCCCCTTGATGATATTAGCTTTTTTAAATTTTATATCTGTTTGCCATAGTCGCGTCCTAACAGTCTAACACCACTAGCTAATTATAGCTAATTACACGTTAAGTGCGTGGGCTTGGGTTCTTCTAATAATAAATAACCTTTCTACCGTGGCCGTGTGTGTTAATTGAACTTGAGCTTGAGCTTTTAGAATCCTACATTTATGATCTTCACATAAACTAAATTGATACATATTGGTTGAAAGTCAACAATCTTGTGCTGATTATTCCATTAATTATTGCTCATAATAGTGCATATATGTTAATTCATTTACAATTCCAGCAAATGCCACTCTCTCCAGTTTTCTATCCTTTTAAATCCGGAGTTATAATGTCCGATTATCTATTATGTGTATATATACATACCACCTTCTGCAAAATAAAAAGCAGGACTTTTTAACACACATCCGAATGGCTGAATTGTTTGCTTGTGCGAATAAGGCACATAGACAAGCATGTAGCATGCTAGCTTATTATAATATACTTCCTTCGTCTTAAATTATAAGGTACTTTTAAAAAATTTTTTTGTCCCAAAATGTAAGATATTTTAGATGGATTAAAGTTTCATTAAATGTACCAATTTCAATATTACTCTTTCTCTATCTATAGTTAATTTCTATCCCTTCTCTTTTCAATGTATTAAATGATGGGTAGTTTGAAAAGTTTGTATTTTTATTTTGAAAAGATAAAGTTGTTAAGTATATTTAATGAGGTTTATTAATATGTGAGATTTTGTCTAAAAGTGTCTTATAATTTGGGATAGAAGGAGTAGTATATAGTAATACTTATTAGCTATCGGCTCATCATCAGCATGTTTGTAGAGTTAAAATAAGAGTCGGACTTGGAGGATCGGGCTTGAAGGCCCTATTTAAATAAGAATTCAGGCTTTAAAAATTAATTTTTTTAAAGTAATCGAGCTTGAAGGCCTGACTCTATTAAGTCTTGTAGAAAATGGCTTAGGCCCGACTGCCCTTCAAGTCCTGTTATATTATTATTAATTTTTTTTTGTAAAACATGCATTTGAAGCTAAGGACTTGCTCGACTAAAGTTCTGATTCTACACACATTACATTATTATAAATTTTAATATATTCTAAAATTAATTTAATATAATTTAATAAATATCAATGTACAATATAAAATTTCTAATATTTTTTATTTTTCTATAATTGTTATATTTGTGTATTTATAAAAAAGGAACTATTTTTTAACAAAATTTAAATTTTTTTTAGTAGACTTCTAAATGTGTATTGTTTAATTTTTAAAAGATTATGAGAATCTTAATTTTTAAAAATATTTTAATTAATTTATAATGGTTAATTTTATTTTTATTTTTTTCAGAACAGGGCTTACGAGCCCGACCTTGAGCTCTTTAATAAGGGTCGAACTTCAAAAAATGAATAAAAAATAAAAAATTGGATTTAAAAGCTCAAGCCCTCATGGGCTGAGCCCACCCATTTTTCAACTCTATATGTTTGTGCTATGATTCTTTCACATCTATATAGTAATAAATATTCTCTACAGACTGAGCAAATTAAATGTCAGGGCATTGATCATTAATTTGTAGCTACAAGATAATTATTAATGCTTCGTGCTACCCGCAAATAAATCTCACAGTCGAAAAAAAAAAAAGAAGATGCCAATTAATTAAAAGGGTTTTTTTTCATATTCACAGCTCGACACGGCTGACTAAATATTTCAAATTTTGTTCATATTATGTTCTGATCGATCGCAAGGAATCCCATTAAATGATTAATCGAATTTTCCTCTTCTAATTTGTTGGCACGACACGTCCACATATTGGTGTGCATCTGCATAACATATGCTCCCATATTGTTGTCGTCGTGTCTGGAAACACAGCCAGAATAATGCATACAACTGTCTAGAAAGGGTTATTATTATATCCAATAATAACACTTAATTAATACTCCCGAGAGGCCCCGCTAGATGGACCACGATGACAGGGTTGCGTTATTTCTGATTCGCTACAGTACTAACCACATGATCAATATATATCTGCTATGACACCTGACACGGTGCGTCGTATAATTTGATTCTATTGTGTAGTATATAATTGTTGGTTGAGATCAATGTATAAATGAATAAATAATCAAAGGCTTAATCGGATAGTTTATCTTCAATTTACCTTTGCGTTTTTTATTGAAGTCAATCGGATGCCAGTTGGGTCTAACATTAATTTAATCAGAGGTTATCATCAGGTTAGTGAACACCAGCGATTTAAACTAGTAAATATTAATTAACAGGGTGCAAGGTGGCGGGCTTTAGTTACCCGATAAGTTAATTATTAGAAACATATATAGCCACAGGATTAAATTGGCATGTTTAATGAGCATATACGAATGGCTATAGGGAAGTAATTAGCTGACAAAGTTCTGGAAAGCACTCAAATGATGATTACACTCGGAGCTTTAAGTTTGACCCAAACTTTACACTCGAACACAGAGAAAGTGGAAGCAGTTGTTGATGATAAGTGTGAACCAGCATTGAGACGAGAAGGTGAAGTCAACTTAAGAGAAAAGCACTGCAGCTTTTGTGAAGCGGGGTGTTGTGGTTTAGATGTGCGAGTGTATCAAAATAGTCAAGCGAGAGGAACTCCAAGTGATGAATATCAAGGAGTGATCTTAAACTTGTAGTTGAACTTAGGAGAGAAGGCAGCTCATGCCCACACCAACAACCCAGCGTAGCAGAATAATTTTTAAAGACACCCTCAACGGGAGGTTTAGAAAGCAGGGTTAAATTCTCCATTTGAATTTAATTAAGAGTAATATAAGGGGTGTTTCCTGCAAATATTAGACTGCCAAAGTTTGATGCTGGTCAGTGCTCTGTCGATCTGGACTAAGATGTTAGACCTTTTTTCACTGTAGATGTCAGCCGTCCTGTCTTTTTTCATCTGTGTGCTGGATGTACTTCCTACCCTAATGTTTCCAAATCAAATGCCCATCTCTTTGTCCTTTCAGACCCATTCGTCGCAGTATATAAAGTAGACTAACATATACATATAGGACACTCTAGGAGCGAGCATCCATGTGCTTTATCTCGATCGATCACTCTCCATCAGTTTCATCTTAATCTGCTTGATTGCTTCCCAATACGCTGCCTTTTATATATATCTCACAAATTCTCATATTTTACTTTGATGCCTAGATACAACAAGTCAGGGATCCAGTGCCACGGCATTTAAGATATATGCAAGGGCGTGTGATTTAATTCGTTTTTCTTTGTCCACCACATTCCAGGAACATCTATATATATACACGCTGCGCCGAAAACACGTCGTGACAAAACGTGAGCTATGTATGGGATGATTAATTTATAATGCCAAATCATTTTATCAATGACTTCTCTTAGCAATGTTTGACGCGTCCGATCCACTTTATAGGTCACATTGTAAAAAGATAAAGTATTCAAAATAATGATATTTTATTTTAAATAAAATGACTTAACTATTTTTAAAGATTATGAGAGGGAGAAACAGAAAAATAATATTATATAATTTATTAACTTTTTGAGAGTTATGTTTGTAGTTTTATAAAATTTTATTTTTTATATTTTTATTATATTAATATTAATGAGGTTAGCAAAAATAATTTATAAATAGGAATGAAGGAAGTTTGACATGCAATTATCAGTACGTTTTGAAACCCATCTCCTTTTATCGAACTCGTCACTTACTATTCAAACTCCTGTATCCACCAACCACACACGCTAGCGGTCATCAGCAAGTGTTTTCAATATATATCAAATTATTCGGCTACAAAATTTATTTTCACATATAATAATATGCTTTTAAATTATACGCACACGTACTCACGAGGAGACCTTCACTGCCAACGGAAATTTCCTGCGTCTTGCACAAATAAATAATATGCTCTTCCGTTCAAAATTAAATAAATAATATGCTCTTGTATTCCGTTCGCTTTAGCGCGCATAACTGAAATCCTTCAAAGGAAGGCCACTTTATTTGTTGATAGCTTATAGGCATTTTTGTGTCAATTCAAAGTCGGCCATTAAATGTGGGCATTTATTTTAGCGAGTATTTAAATCTTAATTTATTATATATTGTGAGAGACCAACCTCTTTCACTATATACAACTCCCATTAGCGAAAGTCATTTTATTTGATTTAGCCAATGCACCTAGACAGTTTTTTGAATTCAAAGATAACAAACTTAAAGTCATACAGGTGATTAAAAAATATATGCACAGTTTTAACGCAAAGACAGAAGCATATATATCACATCTATTGCACGAATTTTAAAGAATGCATGAAGTTATATACAATTATTAGGCTAAGATATTAAAATTTACTAAGACTCATGTGTAAGGACTGTGATTATAATTGAGACGGTGAATCACTGGCATTGTTCACATTGATTTGAGTTAAATATAATAATTCACGGGAAGGAAGCACTGTGAAATTAATTGGGAGCTAGGAAGGGGTAAAGGGCTTTATAAACCCAAAAGATGGAGCTTTTCTATGATGTGCGAGTGTGAGGTGTAGGGCCCCTCTCCTTGAAAAGAACGTGCTTGTGTGCATTCTCACTTCGCTTCCCTCCGATCTCTTCCCCAAGGAGAGTTTAGTCGTCATGGTCCTCGAGGCTGTGGTCTATCCCCCCGACCCTCTCTCTTATGCCGTCAAAGACAATCTATACCCCTTTGGCTTGTTCCTCGACGACTCTCAGCAACATCATCCCTCTCTTGATTTTCTCCACAATAATCACCATCCTCATCTCCATGCTGCAGATTGGGACTGTTCATCCCCACCCCACTTCAGCCATGTTCCTCTCTCCAACCCTTCCTCCTCCGACCCCACCAATGCCGCCATTTCGCTCCCTACTCATCCCCACCTCCTGGATTCTGCTCCTGCTCCGGTCCGTCCCAAGCGCCGCAGACCCAAAACCCGAAAGAATCAGCAAGAAATTGAGAACCAGCGGATGACTCACATTGCCGTGGAGCGCAATCGGAGGAAACAAATGAATGACTATCTCTCCGTTCTTCGCTCTTTGATGCCTGACTCCTACGTCCAAAGGGTACTTTGTGTTAATTTCTCGAATCAACTGCCCGGGTCTTGTTTAATCAGTGTTTTAATGACCCGGAACTGCATTGGTGCAGGGTGACCAGGCTTCTATAATCGGAGGAGCTATTAACTTCGTGAAGGAGCTCGAGCAAAGGCTGCAATTCCTGGGTTCTCAGAAACAGACAGAGGGGACGTGGGAATCGAGTCCTCCTGCAGAGCTGCCTTTTTCCGAGTTCTTTGCATTTCCTCAGTACTCGGCTACGAGTTCCGGCAGGTGCGACAGTAATTCCGGGCCTGCGGGAGAGGGATCAGAGGTCGATGCGATTCAGTCCGGGATCGCCGATATAGAAGTGACGATGGTGGAGAGCCATGCAAATCTGAAGATAAGATCCCAGAAGCGACCCAAGCAGCTCCTCAAGATAGTCTCCGGCTTGCATAGCATGTGTCTCACCATCATGCACTTAAACGTCACCACCACCGCCCAGATTGTCCTCTATTGTCTCAGTGTTAAGGTGCGTGTGGTTTAATTTTCTTTAAGGAACATTGTTTGTTGTTAATCGAAATTAAATATGCACGGAAATTAATTTCATGCAGGTAGAAGATGATTGCAAGCTGTGTTCGGTGGATGACATAGCCGCGGCTCTCTTTCAGATGATGGACAGTATTCATCGGGAGGCACTGCTGTGCTAATTATTAATGAAGCTGCCACCCAATTTGAATTTAAATGACTCGACCTCTTTTTTCTTTGTTTTAGTCTTTTTAACCTCAAGACCTCGTGGTTCTTCATTGTTGTTTTCGATGTGGAACTAGAGCAGTACTGTAGTTGGTAATTATTGCAGCTCCTGTAACTGCTTTCGTTGATGGGCTCCATGGAGGAAGGTTTTTTGATTATTCCCCCTCACATATTATTGCAGTTTCACTGTCTTGCTACTTTTGCACTCTTTTTTCTCTGTGGTGGGGGTGGAGGAGCTTGGAGCCTATGAAACTCTGAGACATTCCCGGGTGTTTGATTATTTCCGCCCACCCTTGCTTTTGCTCAGTGGTAGGCCATATCTCAACCAAAACCAGCAGCCATGGTAATCTGAATTTTATTCTACACGACTTGAGCTTTCATTGTGGACTCCACTATCAAAACTGAATATATCTCCTAAGCTGCACTTCTTCAGATCCAGACCATAGTTAATTTCTTCTGCTATATATGATGAGATGAATAAAAGAAATGGTTGGGAAAATTGGAAGCTAGCATTGTGTACATATCGAGAAGACGGAAAGCTACGGTAGACTCGGCAGCGAAAGGTCAAAGGATTGTAAGAATGCAGGGAAAGCTGCGAAAAACAGCTTTTACAGGTCCACAATTCACGCAACAGAAACTGCTACCATCTTAACTCTCCTCGTTATCTGAATCACCAGTTCAATCATCCACAACAACAGGCTCATCGTTTCATTAATTTATCTGAATGTACGTATACGTGGAATTCTTTTTTCTTGTTTATTTCTGTGTCCGCTGCCATTTTGGGGCCGTGCGTCTTTTAAAAAAACTAAAACCCGAATCATTAGCGCATTGAAGGCTAAATAATGGTCCCCAGTTGAGTTGTACGGTGTTCGTTTTCGAATCCCTAGGTATTCAAAAAAGTTCATTTATTTTATCGGGTCGTCGTCCGGTTGTATTTATCTTCCGGATCAGAATGAAAACGATCAAGTTACATGTGCCTTGTTAATTGTTCCTTTTCAAAAAGGGTGGGGGGGGGGGGGGAGAACTTTATTTTGGGTTAATTTGGTGATGGGGAGGGTTGTGATGGTGAAAAAGTTTTTCCCTCATTGAGCCATAATTCTGTCCTCAACTTTTTCATATATGCTTTTCGAGATTAGAGCGAGTGAGCTGGATGATCAATTGCATGCGTAAAATTATATTTTACTCTAGTGATCATTGAATCGAGATGGATCTCATGTGAACTTTCACCTACTGAGTATATCTATCCATGAAAGAGATGGATTCTAAATTTAAATTAAAAATTCTACAAATAAATTTTAATTGAAATTATTTATTATAGGGTTTGTTTGGTTGAAAGGGAGAGAGAAAAACTCCAACTTACCAAAAAAAAAAGAAGGGAGCTCTTTGTTTGGTGAGGTGGAGGGCTTGCTCCCCTTCCTTCCAAAACGTCCCCCCAATTGGGGGATCCCTTCCTTTCCTCCAATCAAATTTAATCTTAAGGAATGAATATTATATTGAAGTTTGTTAGTATGTTTTTTTTGGGCCAAAGTTTTGTCAAGTATGTTGAATGGAGGAAAAAAAAATCACCCAACAGTCCAACACTCAACTTGACAGCCTGTTTGTATTGAACTGATAGTTGATTTTTTGGATTAAATGATCAATTTTAATAAAAATAATTCAAACAGTCAAAAAAATTGATAGTTAATTATTGAGCTAAAATCACGTTTTGAAATAAATTTTTAGAGGTTGTTTATAAATTCAATTTTATTTTTAAGTAATATATTTTATTTCTTAAATAAAGTTTAACAAATTTAATAATATTAAATACAACTTTATTAATAATTTAATTTTGAAAAGTAATATTTTTATAGTAATTTATATGACTAAAATTAATTTTAAAAAAATAGTATCCAATAGATTATATTATAATATAATTAATTAAAATTAAAATTAATCATGTCAATCAATTATGTCCAATTAAAATTCAAACGAGCCCTGAGAATAAGACGGAACATAGCTTGAGGCATTACTATCTTACTAGTGGTGGAGTTACATTATCATAAGAGTGGGTGGTAAATGCACCCTCTCATTTTAATCTTGTGTACCTTTTAAATTAAATAAAAAATATTTAGATTTAGAATCTTATTAAATATGTAATATTCTAATAATCAAAATAAGATATGAAAAGCCTATTTACATAAAATACCATATTAACATATTCAATATAATTTTAAAATAAAAAATGATAATCAATCTACTCATATTATTACAATCTTAATTTTAATATAATTTTTATTTTTTAAAATTATTAATTTTTTCATTAAATTATCTTGCTATTTGACTCCACCACTCAATAGCAGAGCTATAAATATGTGTGTGGGAGGCAAATGCACCTGCACACATGGAGAAAATTGCATATATGGTATGTTATCATTACAATATTGCACCCCTAAATTTAGAATTTTGAACTCTCTAGATTTGATGAAAAATATTTGGGTTTGAAAATTTTTTAAATAAATGATATTTCAATTCATATTCCATAAATTTAAACCAAAAAAATTATACTCATTAGAAATGGATTAAGAGTTTTTTATTTTATATTCCCTCCATTAAAAAATATAAAGTATTTTTAATTAAATCTTGCTCTTCAATAAAGTAATTACATACTTTCAAACTAATTTTATATTTTTATATTTACTCCTATTAAACATCTTACAATAAATATAAAGTCATCATCAATAGGAGTACTTTAAAAAAAAGACGATAATTACACTCGAAAGAATAAAAATGCCTTATATTTTTTAACATCTAACTCTTCAAAAAATGTCTTATATTTTTGAACGGAGGGAGTAATAAAATTCAAGGAAAACAAATTAAGTCATCCTTTTGGCAACAGTTTTCAACACATTTTTGTCCAAACAAATCCATATTATATTTTTTTCCCAAATTAAAATATGCATAATTTTATTTATGTTATTGCATTTTTTAAATTTATTATATTATTTTTTAAATTGAGCTATGACTTTAAGTCTTGGTTCCGCCACTGCCTATTACACAGTACATGTCCTTGGAAACCTAATTTATTTGCCGTTTACTACATCACCCAAGCACGAACCTTGTTTCTTTATTCTATCTACTTAACTAAAACTTTTATTGTTGTTGTTGTTGTTATTCATCGCTTTATTTATATTACCAACTTCAGAAAAGAAGCTAAGAGTTGCAAGTAAGTTAGCGAGCAAGTTGCGGATATACTTGCAGCTTCTTATATTAAATACTGTCAATACGAGTTTGCTATACATTAATAAGAAAAAGTAGCAGTAACCATACATAGAAAGGTAAGAGATGAGGCGATATTATATGATTAGATGATTTGGAGATTGATTGAGGCGTGGTTTGGAATATTAATTTGGTAGGGTTTCCCCGTTAGTTTAATATCAGATTTCACATGAATCGCGAGGGTCAGCGTATGTTTGCACAGCGCTGCAAAATCATATTTCTATTCTATTCTATTCATTGTTTATACATATAGCTGAGAGGATTCCAATCCCTACGCCTCTCTTTGTTTCTATCTTCTTGTTCTACTGCGGGGTAACATAGCCTTCAAGATTCCACCCCAAATTTCTGCCTCTACCTCTGTCCTATCATTTCATATTCGTTGTTTCTCCCTGTGAGAAGCAAGAGGCTGGAGCCAAGTGTTTTTAGAGGCCAGGAAAATACAAAAAGAGATGCAGGATTACGTGTTAGGCTTGAATCATGGCGGTGTAGAATGGAGTCCGAGGCAGAGTTATGAATGAATGAAACAGGGAGACAGTGATTGGTTTTGATTGAATAGAATAAAGCAAAAGGAGGGGGTAGAGTGAGTATAAATGCAGGGACAATCGCTCCAAAACAGGAAATGATTTTAAAAAAAGAAAACAAAGGCGCTAATAATTGAAGGAAACAAAGTGAATATACCCTCCTCCTCCTTGGTCCACATGTCTTCAAAAGGTTTTTGGGATATGGATCAGTGTCACATTTCATACCCCTTGTTAACTAATGTACCCGGAATATGTGACCAATCATCAATCATCAATAATGGATATCAATGAATAATACTAATAACTAATAACAACAAATATAATTAATGGAGAAAGCGTAGAACCAGCAATTTGGACTTGGGAGGGTGAGGGAAAAGGACAGAAGCAGACCAGGCCCAAACAGTTCCTCTGATCAAGGCCGAAAACAATTCCAGTTAGTCTCTGAGATGACGATTATAGAGTCTCTTGTTTTTTTTTTTTTTTTTTTTTGGGGTCGGTCGGATATTGAGTCTCTCGTTAGTCATTGCTATTTGCTGTGCCACAATTCCAGGCTTTAGCGTCCAAACTTCATCAAATTCAGTTGTAATTGAAGTTACAGTTGAGAGTGAGAAAGTGAAAATGTAAGAATAACAAGTTACAGTTGAGTAACTCGTAAACTCATATAACCCCTTGGAGATAGAAATTCATTGATGAGGGCTTGATTTCGAATTTCAAGGTCTACAATTATGTGCGGATTTCAAGACACCAGTAAAGAAAGAATCAAATAATCATGTATACAAGAATATCAGTATTCAGAACTTGAGCTTGAGAAGGAAAGGCATTTTGTCTGGGAAAGGAGGATCCGAGTACTTCCCGGTAAGAATTTGGGACGCCACATACTGATTTGCAGCCTCAGTGTAATGAATCCCATCCCAGTTCACATACTCACTACTATCGGTGCAACCTTTCGCTGTGATAGTGGTTGCGTTGATCACCTTCGTTTGCCCACATGCGATCGACTGTCATAGTTAAGTGGTGGACCTCCATATCCACAGCACGCCATCAGAGGTTGTTCAAAACCTGCAAAAAGGTCGATCTCATAAACTACTGTTCCGCCTCACATTCTATATAATCACTTGAGTGCAATTGACAAGGTAAAATCACATTATGCTGACGTACTCACCATATTTAGAGTAGTTTGCAATGAGGTTTGATTTTATGGTGAAGATGTCAACAAATGTGATATTCGCATCAGGATATTGGCCCTGCAATTTCGCACAGAAAGCATGAAGCTGTAGATTGAAGGTTTTAGCGGCTTGGTTGTGTGAAGCAACGCATCCTAGCTCGTCAAGCTTTGACGGATCGGTTCCAAATTTGGCGATATTCTGAGCCAAGCATCCCAGAGGACCTGTGTTGTGTATCCAAAAATACCTCGCCCCCTGGTCATACAGTCTCTACAATACCAATACAAGTGAAGGCAGAGTGAGCATTCGATTTTTTTCAAAGAGAGAGATCTGACAACTCATCAATGACTTGTAAGACGCAACAACACCAACCCTTATTCCAGTTTCAAATTCTAACAGGATTGTTGGAATTGAAGAGAGTATCTGGTCCAGTGTTTTTGAATAGAATGCCCCAGCAAGATCGTTCTGGCCTATATCAAACATATACAACCCTTTCTGAAAATACTCCTCTGCTGGAACGTACCTTTCAAATTTCTTACCTGAATAGAGGAATGAGATTAAATGTTCATGCGGTTTGATTGTTGAACAAAATATCTGATTGCTATAATGAGATACCTTTATCGAGCAATTCAAGAACCCGAGCTTTGAATCGGAAAAATTGATTGACCTGAACTCCAAACGAGAATGGGCAGATGGATGACGCAGTGGCTGGAAGGATAGTTGAGCCAGCGGCTGCAAAGTTGCAACCTTTTCGAAAATTTGGAACCCCCACCGAATCCAGATATGCATTTAGGAACGGCAAGTCCATCGCATCCACTGCAATAATAAACCATGAAGCACGTGAAACTCTATGGAAACAGGGCAAGCATGCTTTTGTCAGATAGCATTATCAAAAAGATTACAGAGGAAATCAATGACAAGACGGCCATCACAGTATCTCCCGGACGGTACTTTGAAGTCAGTCTGTCCATTGGGAGGATAGAGGCTCTCGATCCCAGCGGCAATAAGGGTACCAGTATCAGAATTGGAGTCGCCGAAATTGAAAACCGCTGGGAAGTGCAAGTTCATGGATTTGGTAAAAGTTAGAGAGAAAGAGATGATGGAGAGAATGCCAAGGACGCACTTGTTGGTTGCCATGGCTGTTGAGGATTTGCAAGGAGGGGCCACTAGGTTTCTGGTTTGTTGCTTGTGTTTCAAATCTTCATCTATTCATAACTCATTCACATATGTCCGTTGGGTGGATCATACCTTTCAATTATGGGGCCCAGGGGTATCCAACAGGAAACGTCACTTGGAAGAATGAGATGATGCGTTAAGAAGCAAAATGACGTTTTCCTGCATCTGATACGGTCGGTTCCAACATCTATAAAGTTGGACTAGGAGAGAAGTTCCTCAACCTCTCATTTGAGGTAAAAGCTCAACCTGAATGGTTGATTTTAATCTAAACAGTTTAAATTTAATATTTTTATATTTTTATTTTTAATTTATATTTTTAAAATAAAAAATATATAAAATTATAAATTTTTTTAATAAATATACTTAACAATCTAACAGTCCAAATTTAATATAAATGCTTTAAATTTAGTATTAAATTTTTTTATAAATTTACTGTTCTGTTCAAAATATATTTAAATTATTCAAAATATATTTAAAAAGTTATTTAAATTTTTTATATTAAATTTAGAGCATCTATATTAAATCTAGACTATCAAATTTATAAACATATTTGTTAAAAATTTTTAGAATTTTTATGTATTTTTTATTTTAAAAATATAAATTAAAAAAAAAAAAATAAAAAAATTAAATCTAGATCATCCAAATTTATTTCGCATCAAAGGAGAAGCAGAGAAGGCTTCTCTCAAAGGAAAGAAGAAGACTCCTATAAAGTTATATTAATTTTAAAATTAAAATACAAATTTAACCTTAAAGTTTTTTAAGAGATGCAGCTGTTATCATAAAATATTTAACGTTGTAATTTTGTCCTAATGTTTTTCAAAACAATACAAATTTTTCACGGGCTAACGATTTGACTAGGTTGACTGTTTATTTTAACTTTTTGCCCGTTAAATATCTAACCGCCAATTCACGTGAGATTTCATATCTAAATGTGAATTAAAGAAAAATGGCCACATGTTCAATTATTTACTCTTTCCTTCATTTTTTCATCATCTTCCCAAAAATGAAACAACTATAATGCAGACCACAAATGAACAAACAAAATCAAATAAGAAATGAAAATCTTTAAGGGGGTTCAAGTTTAAACAAACAAAATCAAATTAAAAATTAAAATCACAGTGCTAAGAATTGAATCAATTCATTGAATAAATGAATAAATAAAATCAAACAAGAAATGAAAATCTTTATTGGGGCCAAGTTTGAACAAACAAAATCAAATTAAAAATCAAAATCACATTGCCAGGAATCAAATCAATCCATGGAAGTTTGAAAAACAAAAAAAATCTCAGCGCCAGGAATCAAATATGGGGTATGAAGATGGAAGGCAATAATTATGAATCACTGTAAAAAAAAAAAAATTGAAGAAGGCAAAGCAGCACCAGCAAAATCAAAGCAAAAATTTTACAAAATAGTTCAAGGGCACATCAGCAAAATCAAACCTACCAACAAAAACAACGCCAAAGTCGAAAAAGGCAAAACCAAAGCCACCAGTAAAACCAAAGCCACGATTAAAGAAGAAAAAATCAAATAAGCACATAGTGCAGGGATGCGACTCATTTTCAACCTAGATCGATGAACGCAGGTATGTAACTCATCTTCAACCCAGATCAAAGAATGCAAGGATCTTGTACTCGCCAGCAATAAGGACTCACCCTCTTCAGAGTTCAGATTCCTTGATCTCAACTGCAAGTATGATCTGGATCACACAAATCATAGGCGAGAGCAAGAAGGAGAACTGAGAATCACACAAATCAAAGGCAAGAGCGAGAACGGCGAATCACACAAATTAGGGGCAAGATCAAGGAGAATCGGGAATCACACAAATCAGAGGCGTGAGCAAGGAGAGCCAAGAAGAGTCAAGAGCGAGGAGAACGAGAAGGGGCAATGGTGCAGAGAAGGGTCTCAAAAGGCTAGGAGAGTGAACCAGAGGCGAGAGTGCCGCTGAAGAGAAGGATGGAAGAGGTGAAAGCTTGCATAGCTAAATCCAGCGAGATGAAGATGAATGGGCATGTGGTGTGAGGTGGAATGAGGAGGAAAAACTTACATGGCTGCCATAGTTAAGGCTTGATGGTCAAAAAGCGTAGGTTAATGGTTAACTTAACGCTTCTATCACGGAAGGGCAGATTTGAAAACCGTTTGAAAAATATCAAGACAAAACTATGTCATTAAATACTTTAATATATTAAATGCACGTTCGAAGAAATTTTAGGAACAGATTGGTACTTTAACCCTTAATTTCATTTCTAATCTTATCATTGATCTCGTCATCTTTTTGGCACATAATTTAATTTGGCACTTTGTTCGGGTAGATGTTGGCAGCTTGGCCAAACACACAGAACGTCCATTGCATAATTACAAAGAGTCAAGATAACTGAAATCAAAGTGAGAGTGAGAAATTTACCAAGGAAGTCAAGTATGAGACGACCGTCAGAGAACCTGCCAGATGGGGTTTTGAAGAAAGTCTGGCCATTGGGCAAGGGAGGTTGAAAGCCCATTCCAGCGGCAAAATCACCTGTGTCCGAGTTGGAATCACCGAAGTTGAAAAGGGCAGGGAAATTGAAGTCAACGGAACATGCCATTCCCAAACACAGGCAAAACAAGAGCATTTCAAAGGCAACAGTAATGTGAGAAGCCATGATTGGTAACGATGATAGCTTCGTACACGCTCTCATGATGACAGCCTGGTCGCCTTTTTATATACCCCACTGGGTTGCTTCAATAGAGTTCGTGTCTAAGTCCAAAACAGAAAGGAAAAGCTTGCTTTCCAGCTGAGAAAACTTGCAGTTTTCCTTTGGTTTGAATTCCCTTGCAATCATTGTGTCGTTGGAGGGGAGTTGCATACTTGTGCCGTGAAGGAATTACATTGCTTCATCACATTTATTACCTGTAAAACTTGCTGCTTACCAGAATCAAAAGAAAGCCCCCGTCTTGAATAGAACAAGTCCAAATTTTCTGGGTTTATGAATAGAACAAGCCACTTTTTTTTCCATCTGAGAATCGATTCAGACCATTTCCCATCTTGTCCTTCTGCTCACCAAGAGTCGGCAAGCTCCTCCCCTCCACAGTCGTGAGTTCTTCCGTCTTCCTCTGTCTCCCTCATCAACTGCCCCCAGCGTCGACCCCATCTTCTCTGTTCGGAAGAGAGCTCACGATAGGGTTGCACCTCATCATAGTCCATGAATGGTTCTCCATCCTCACCTCGGTACGTAAAAGTTAAGAAAAGACGAGAAAAATTAACAAAATCAAATCGAACTTCCCAAGGGATAGAGGGACGTACAGATCGTTTTTGTAACCCATGCTTCTGCAACAAGAGGGAATGAAGAACCCAGAAAATCCAAAAGAGAGATAGAAAATCAAAGAAGCAAATTTGATCAAGGAGAGACGCATTTAGCTGTAGGTCCCATGAAATAACTGGGGGAAGAGGTTCGGGAGTCGTTGCAACTGGTAAAGCCGTAAAGGCAGGTCAAAATCTGGGCTTTCGAGTATGGGGTTTGCAGTTAAATTATTACCATTAAAATGTTATCTATCTAAATATAATCTAAGAAAAATATCATTCGAGGACAGTTGAAGGCATTTAATATTAATTAAAAATTAAAAATTTTAAAATATCATTATAGAATTAGAAGACTGTATTAAAAATAAGTTTAGATGAAAATATAATATAACACCATTATCTTTTTTTTAATTAATAAATAGTCATTTGTAAATCAACAAATACTTATTCATATTTAACAAAAAATTATTTGTCTATTAACAAGTTCAAAAATATAAAAAAATTTGATCTTAAAAGGGAATAATTGTATATTGCATTTCAACAAGTAACCATTCATTAATTAATAAGTATCTATTTGTATTTAACAAAAAGTCATTTACTAATTAACAAGTCTAATGATATGAAAGAATTTGGTTGTGTGAAGGAAAAAATGTAGATCATGTTTCAACAAATAAACATTTGTTAATTAACAAATATTCATTTATATTTAATAAGAAGTCATTTACTAATTGACAGGTTCAAGAATTTGAAAGAATTTGATTGTGAGAAAGGACAAGTAAAAATCATGTTTCAACAAGTAGCCATTAATTAATTAATTAACTAACCAATACTCATTAACATTTAATAAAAAGTCAGTCACTATTTGACAAGTTCAATAATTTGAAAAAGCTTGGTTGTGGGAAGAGACAAGTTTAGCATAACATCCCAAGTTTTAAATATGAAATCTAACTATTAATTAAAGGATAATTTAGTAAGTTAGTAGATTAATTGAGTTAATTATGATTCTAAGTTTTTAATTATCATCTTGGATCATTAAACAACTTTATAATCAGGCTAAAATGAAAGTTAGATTGGATCAAGTCAAGATGGGTGAGCTAAAGTGATAGTTAGCTCACCACACCATGCACCGTGCAAAAACCAGATTAAAAGGTCATGGTTGGGTATGAAATAAGGGGAAAAGAATAGAAAAAATAGAGAACACGAAAGGAAGAGGGGAGAGTTCTGTTAGGCATCAATTTTCAAGCGCTAGAAAGTTAGTTCTCACCTATCATCTTTTTGGTAAGCTTTATATGTCCTTCACTTCTTGATCTACTCTATTTTCTCTTGATTTGAGATACAAGACAAATGAATTTTGAGTTAATTGAAGGTTTTTATCAAGCCCAATAATCATTGTAGGGCTGTTAAGAGTTAAATCAAGTCCATGTATCTAGATTGGTGTTTGTTGATTGAGCTTTGGGTTTTGGATAAATTCTAGCCTCAAATTAAAGGTTTGAAGTAGGAGAATCTTATATTGGTGTTAGTTGGGATAATAGAAGCTATGTGAAGCTTGTAAAGGTTGGTTAGAACTTAAAATTGTCCAATGATAGAAGTTAGAAGTTTATAAGTTTAGCTTAATTGTGCTATTAAGTACTTACGTTAAATTGGGAAAATAACATATAGTACTTAAATGTTGTAGACTTCGTAAATTGAAACCTTTGAAGTTGAAGTAACTGTTGGAGTTGTAAGAGTTGCCACGGGTAACCTTTTTGATAATAAAAGAATTAAAGTGATCAGGTTATTCATACCACTTATTAGCTTGTAAGAATGTAACATATGAATTATCTTGGTTGCTGGAACTTTGTCTCACTCTATTGTTTCTACTTTCTAGGTTCAAAGATAGATAGGAAACAAAGAAAAGAGCCAGGTTAATGATAGTCAAATTGATATTGTAATGCCTTGCTATTTTGAATTGTGTAATGAACACATATTTGTATATAG